CGTATCGGCGTATCGGCGTATCGGCGGCCGCCACGTCAAATCCATGAACACGCGTACTCGGACGGTGAGGCATGGACTGTACAGTCGAGATCCGTAAGTTGGGGTAGGCGTGTCACCGGAAGTGACGTGGACTTGATAGAAGTTGCGTAGGATAAGTCGTTGCCAGCATGCTTTGCTGATATCTCGCGATGTATATTGGAAGCCCTTATCCACATAGATTCTATCAAGTACACGTCACTTCCGGTGACACGCCTACCCCAACTTACGGATCTCGAGTATATGTAGGAGGTTGGGGACAGGCCGAGAAGTGGGTAAAAAAATTCATACACCGGTCACAACATCCAATCCATGACACGCCTACCTAGACGGCGAGATATGGGTTGCACCACCGAATATGCACTTACCTAATCACCCAATTACCTGTAATCACTTAGAAATCCTAACTACAACCTCTTCTCCCATGATAACAAGTACGACCTCATGTAGAGCAATCCCTTATCGTGCCTCAGACTGGTTGCGACTTCAAAGCATTCGGCTTTAATGCTAGCGCGACACGCAGAAAGTGGAGCAAGAACTTCCAGTGTTTTTGAATAGTTGAATCATGTTTCAGATAATATGCGACTCCTTGCAAGTGATCATGGTACCGCTACCGGAATGTGCTTCTGGTGAATGGGGTCCAGCGAAAGCAACGCGGTTGTTTGGTTTGCAGCCTGTGTCGCATTTTGATGCCATTGTGAATGCGGGACGAAGTGTTGAGATCAAGTTCAGGTTGGAGCTGTTCGCAGATATCTTCAAAGCATTTTCATGTTATTTTCTTCGTTGTCTTAAAGATAAGGTTACATGAAACTGCATTGCCCATTGGAGATGAAGGTAGAGGTGATAGAGGACGCATCACTCACGCGAACGATAGAAGGGTGAGAGAACACGGCACCAAATCCGCGAGGATCATAAGATCCAGTTAAGTCTGCTCTAAGCGAAATTTTACGCTAGATCATGTCGTCGACGTGGACGACTTGCTCTGGCCTTTGCTCACTCTCGCCGTGGACGGCGATCTCTCACCATTAACTAATTGCTTCGTCACCTTCACTAAGGGGGGCACGGCAGGTGTCAGGGTTAGCTACGTGGCGAGGGCGCGCCCTGTACAACAATACATGTCTCTACTTGCCTTAAAGGCAAAAGTCGGGCTCAATAAGGGGTATTATGGCGATTGAAACTGAGTATAGAGATGCGAAGTGGAACGACAGTGGAGAAAAAACTGAGAAAAACCGTCGACAAGGCCGTTAACAAAACCCTCTTTCCCACTAGCAGTGAAGGAGGCTGGCTTGGGGAAGAGGCACGTACAAACAAGTTTTCTGGAGATGTCAGTCGTTCTATCGGTTGATACGGCAATCAACCTAGCTGATTTCACACGTTATGCCAGCCACGCACCACTTCCGGAGGTGGGCGGTCCTGGATTGACCAGGCGGCCCTGGATTGAAACCGAACGCCCCGGGGCCTTAACGGGGTTTTTCAAGGTGGGAAGTTGCTGCAATGTGTGCAGCTACCCACATACAACCTCCAGGCACGGGAATTACTTCTCTAGCGTGCCTGAGCCCGACCTTTGCCTTTAAAAGCTTGTCGTCGTTTGTAGTAGGGTGCGTACACCCTTTTGAAATCTAGTTTATCTTAACATCCTCCCTGGATCTGCAACGAAGTAAAAAGCGTTACTTGGTGATAACGCATAGAGTTAATATGCCAAATATGATCATACTTTTACAGAACAACGAAACGTTTATGCGAAGTGGTCGCTGCTTTACATCGCAACCGTACCGATGATCGCGTGCTACAGAAGTACTGCCGCACTCATTTCAACGGCGATCAGGTGATTCCCACTAATTCATTTTCTACTCATTCTTTTGTGAATGTTTATTTCGAAAATCGTCCTGCTGGTCCGCTTTTTGGATTCGAGCTCCTAAAACCCTTTTTATATTTTACTTTTTGCAATTTTTGAACACGTAGAGAACACTTATAGAGCTTCATCATAACGATCAGTAATATCAAAAATTAAAACATCCCAGTTGTGTCAGGTTGGGGCTTCTGGTCATTTGTCGGTGCCATTTTCAAACGGCGCTGAGTTTTGTTCTTGGGTGACTTTTAGTGTGACTATAGCTCTTACTCCGTTATAGTGCTTTTGCATTTCTTTATAAGTTATGCAAAACTAGAAGATCAGAGCTTTCCAACCAATACCAATACTGATTTCAACATTTATCGGGTTGGGAGATGGCCCCGCTGCGCGTTTTCTCTACATAAGTTAGTGGGGCGGATCTTTTGAAAATGCAGTTTTTAAACATTCAAATGATTGCACCACTTCGAATTCAAATGGGGAAAGGTGAACAAAACGGCAAACTACAAGTGCTGTGCTATATAAAGGTTACTAAATAATTCTTGACAAATCACCGATTGTAAGTTTTTCTACCGCTGTTTCCCTTTTAGCCTTCAGAAGTCAGTCTGCGTGAGTGGCTACTCTTTCGCCTACCAGGTGTGTTCTGAGAACATCGGTTTCCTGTAGAACAACATTTGTGTGCATTTCCCTTGTATATGGCTGTTTTGCGATTGCCTCTTTGCAGTTTTGAAGATTGTCGCGCCAATGCAACATCGCATGGGGTTACGTTGCTCATGAACTCATTTGAAGGAAGTATGCTCTCTCAGCAAAATCTCTGTCTTTTAATACCTTGAGACCGATGCCTACTGCGTAGCAATCGTCCTATTACATCATTCTTACTTCACATATAGTCCCCATGCTCGAACTATTTTTTAATACGCTACCGTTGACACAGCGCCGGCATCCTTCACTTGACAACTATTTATGCCGCACGTTACAAACTTTCTTTTGCACCATTGCGCGACCCTATCTCAAGCTTTTTTTGTGATTTATTCTCAAGGCCCATACATACATACATAACCCAAAAAGTCAATGGTGGCTCACGGAATAGCTAAATATTCTTTAGTTTTGCAAAAGTTTTTTTCAGACCTACGAAAATGTCGATCCAATTCATTGCTCGTTTTTTCCTTTACGCAACCAAGTAGATGAAAACACTAACAGAAGTGGATACAAACCCGTTCCCATAACAAGATATATGGCTGTATGAAAACAACCGCGTTCAAAAATAATTTTGGAGTCGTTAAAGCAACAGTAAGCAAAAATTTTCTATTCATAACTATGTATAATACGTCATTTTGGTCGAACTTCCATTACTGCTTTCCCGATAGGTTGAACTCATTTAACATTAAAGGCATGCCCGTCCAACGGATCGCGCGCACTGGTGTGGCTCTTGCACACGAATGTGAATGTATCGGTGCCAAGTGGGCCGGCAGTGAAGAAAAAAAGGAAAAGAATCCGTCGAAAACGCTCAGGTTGAGGGCTCACTCACCTTCCTAATTGGCTGTGCTAAAGGAACGAGAGCGCGAAGAGGAGAGTATGGGGCGAGAGAGCGCATCAGATGAGAGAGCACCAGACAACGGCCTGATAAGAGAGCTCGTTCGCTGCAGCTCGAGCAGCTTACTTTGCAAGGCCCAAGCGCTCTTGTCGGTCGGTTCCGTGCACGTGAACGCCACATTTGTGATTGTCCCCTAGGGTTCTATACTTCTGACCGAAGAGAAGAGTTCACACGACCTCTGCCTGGGTTGTGCCTTTAATGGAGCATTTTTGACGCATGCAAGTTTTGCGTACTTACAGCTCGAAATCCAGTGTTATGAGGTGGTGAAAGGCGCCTATAAAACCGAGCTCGCCCCACGCGGCCAAAAAAAACCGTAACACGCGATGTCGTCGACTTGTTAATGGACCCATCATACCACATAGAACTTCTCCATGGGACTTTTGCCGAACCCTTGCCAAGCATATAAGCCTCTTCCGTAACCATCATCAAAATTAATTTTTCGGCACTCACGTCACTACGAATTCACGTGACTTATACGAAGTGCTTTAGACGCGTTAGGTTAGGAGGAGATCCACGTGAAGTTATCACCAGTGGTTTACTGGGAGTCGAGGGTACTTACTTCCGTCTCAGGTCATTTGCCAGAGGAGACACGCTTGCGATTTGCGGGGATGTCATGAGTCTTTTTTCATACACAAAATGGAGTGTTTAAAAACATCTTTTGCTCTGTTTTAGGTTTCTATCCAAATCGACTTTCCTGAAGAAGGCCAGTACGGTCTTGACATTTATACACGGCAAGACGACCAACTGATCAACGGACGACAGCTGCTTACTCATTGTTGCAAATACCTGATTCATTCCAGAAACTGCTAAAAAGATAGATCATCCCTATATTGAAGATATGAAATCATTGTACACATATTCCTTTGTTGTTGATCTACGGGGTTTTGTTCTGTTGTCGAAGCCTTCTTAGTCTCACTTTATTCATGCCCTTTTTATTGTCCGTTTTCGTCTGCATATATTCTATATATTCTCTATCCTTGCCGATTCTTCCCGTCTTCTAATCGTATACCAAATGCTGCTGCTTTTTCTGACAGCGGTAGACCCTCTCACGTTAGTCGATGCGTGACGTTGCTGGTTGACATCTTATATTTGAGATTTTTCGTTAGGGAGAGAACTCGCGCTAGGCCTGGTCACACTCTGTGAATGCTTTTTGACTTCGCGCTGTGATCCGTGGCGCCAGGATGCCTGCCTCTCTGCCTTAGCGTTTGTATCGTCACAAAAGAAACTTGTGGTATATCCAGAGCAATTCTCGGTGAAACTCTCATAAATCCTGAACAATTATTTAGTCCTCAGTGCGAAGGAAGCCATCAATGTCGGAGATAAGTTAACGCGACTCTGTAGAAGTGGCACTGTGATGATACAAACATGGGTATGCGCGAGCTGTTCTGGTGCTTACGTGAAGGAAAACGATTTTAGCAGAGTCACCGTTTATCAAAAGTTGTAACGTGATATTTTGGATGACGTATCAATAAAAATTTTCCCTATCTTCTGTCAAGTGGAAAGTTTCCGAGTGGAAAATATTAAGTGTGACCCAATATACTGGGTTGGTACTCGTTCTTGTACGCATTTGTTTCGTGTCAAATGGATGCATATCAGTGATTATGATGGTGGTTACATTTTTGATCAATTGTTTTTCTGGAAAGAAAAAAACTTGAAAAATCGAACCGTCGCACTTCGGCCAGATGTGTGGGACGGCTCAATAGAATGCAGGGGCAGGTGGGTAGAATGAGAGAAAGCAACCGCTAATAACACCAATTTCCAAACCAATAGTGTTAGAGAGGGGCCGCCTCGAAATCGATTGGTGATTGAAGCGTGTATTACCGGCTAAACAGAGGTATATATAGACCGCTCGCACACAACCGACTAACTGAGGAACTTAGCATCCTTTGAGGCACTGAAGCAGGGTGAAAATCGTGTCGAGTACGTGGTCGCAGAAGTACGACCCCCACGCCCCCCCCCAAAATCGAGATCCTGGCACGACCCCCTAAACAGAGCAAATTAATTCAATTAAGTAATCAAAATCAAAAAAAATCCTGCAAAATAAATAAAGAAAAAATCCTGCAAATTAAATCAAAAAAAGTCCTGCAAAATAATGTTATGGACGCATCATCTTGTCATCTATGCACTGTCTTTCATCGCTGCACACTTTTGTGTATTTACTGAAATATCGACTCGAGGAAAGAGGCATTAACTTTGTGTGACCTCAAAGTCAGGTTCGTTCAGAAATGCACAGAAATCCTGAAGGCACGGGGTTGCTCGGCGGTTGCGATTTAAAGGCAATGCCCCCAGGATCGCACTGGTGTGGCTCTTGCACACGAATGTGAATGTATCGGTGCCAAGTGGGCCGGCAGTGAAGAAAAAAGGAAAAGAATCCGTCGAAAACGCTCAGGTTGAGGGCTCACTCACCTTCCTAATTGGCTGTGCTAAAGGAACGAGAGACTAAGCGCGAAGAGGAGAGTATGGGGCGAGAGAGCGCATCAGATGAGAGAGCACCAGACAACGGCCTGATAAGAGAGCTCGTTCGCTGCAGCTCGAGCAGCTTACTTTGCAAGCCCAAAGCGTTCTTGTCGGTCGAATTCCGTGCACGTGAACGCCACATTTGTGATTGTCCCCTAGGGTTCTATACTTCTGACCGAAGAGAAGAGTTATAAAAAACCTCTGCCTGGGTTGTGCCTTTAAACTTAATTCTAAGCTTGATTATCGAGGAAAAATGAGTTATCAATCAACGGCCGATTCAACGGCAGCTGCGGCGCGATTGTCACTGGGTCAGATTTGCTGAAATCCCGAAAAAAACCGTCGAAATCTACACCCTCGATGAAAAGGTTGCATTCCTCCATTTCATAACCTTTGAAGCAGTTTGAGGTAGGGTTAGATAGAGCTGGATTTCGCGTTTCCAAGAAGTATTGAAATTGCTCTGAAAGTCTTCCATGCAGAAAGATAGGGTCTCTCAAATTTCGTCGAGTAAACGTCGAGGACGCTGAAATTTTCGCGTGAGTTTTTGCCACTTCAAAAGCAATATCTCGCTAATGCCGCAAGGTCCTGAGAAAAGGGAAGACAGTTTTGGAAAGCGGAAGGTTTGCGCTTTCTGATGGTCTTCTTAGCTTTCTTCTACATTTCCTAGTTGAGAAGATATCTGCGTCGAGTATGTATCGAGGACGGATCCGGCCACCTGAAAATCCGCTCCCTCCTTCACCATTGCAAGTGTAATTGTTGGCAACGCTCGAAAATGTGTCTAGAACGAAATCTTTCAACGCAAGCAATAAAATAGGGGCAATCGTCATCATCCGATTTCGTATTGGTGTAAGCCATGCATCCGTGCTCCACTCACAGTTGCAGAATCGATTGAAAGGTGTTATATGATCATGACCAGTTGACAGAAGCTGCATTGTAGTAAACGCATTTCGTAACTCCTACAACCTAAAGAACAACTTCATTTGCCCAGGGCTTTTCCTTCACGGTTGTCGTTTTTGCGACAGGGTCCCTAACAACAGTGTCATTCTCAGCGAGGTATTAAGGGAGAAGGAGCGAGCGATAGGCAGAGGAGGTGCCTTTGCAGCGCGTGCGCACATGTGGCAGTCTTCTTTGCGGGGATGCACTTTCATTCTTTGTACTGCCTTCAAATACGCCCTTCTCATGAAGGTGGAGGAATGGAGCGACTGAACCTGCAAAGAAAATTTAATATCATGTTTTTTTTCAGATATTTTCATTTTCTGCTGCGCTATACCCTCTTACCTATCTGCACCACGATACCACTGCTGTTACTGACCCCCAAGAGTACGACCCCCCATGGACCAGCCCGACAGGTACGACCCCCCTGTCGAGGATTTCCTCGACCGATATTCACCCTGCTCTGAACTACTGTAAGTTTTGCGGTGCTGGAGCGCATTCTCGTTCCAACTACCAAAGAAAGTCCTTCAGGTAGCCATTGCCACACAAGATATGATGCGTACTTTATATGTGCCTTGAGACGCTGATCTCAAATCTGCCTTAAAAAAATTTGCTAGGCAGTTCCTCGGACGATATTACGAAAACCTAAAGCGCAGCGGTAATGGTGCACTCTTGGACAATTACTTGTGAGATCGGTTCCCTGGCGGGTTTACTACTTTAATTTTGTGTCGCAGTATTTTAACACATTGTCGACAGCGCAGCAACTATAACCCGCCACTTTCGCACTGTGTCGGACACATTACAACTATGCATGGCCCGCCCATTACATTTATTTTTTTCGCACATGCCCGACTTTTGAGTCTTCTAGGTCGACTCTAGGCCATACATCAAAACCAAAAACGGCGTGGCTAACAAAATGGCTAAACACTCTATTGGGAGAGAGGAGGTTCCGAACCTTACGCAAACGTCTGTTCAATTTATTACTCATTTTCTTTTTATTGCGCAATAAGATGAAAAAGAGTAATAGAAGTGAATACGAACCTAGTTCCATCGCGAGATATACGTTACAAATGAAATAACCATCCTACTATATATTGGGTTGTCTCATAATTCCTGTCGCAATTTCGACACTTTTGTTTATCCAAGTTTTATCTCTTCTAGGAAACAACTGATCAATAGCATAACCACCATCATGGTCACTGATATGCGTGCATTTGCTAGTGAGCGTTTGGAAGCTTCCAGCCCAGAATGAAGGAAGCTGGGGGTTGAAGAATTTGGAGAAGTCGTTTTTGGGGTGGTCGCAATCTTTAACTTTCTTCTCTGGCAAATGCTGATTCAGTGCGTGGGTGAGGCGATAGTCCGACAGAGCGATGCCAATGCTTGGTGGATGAGGTATCGTGGCCCTGGCTATC